AAAAGTCCAGCTTGACCAGCTGGCAGTGACCCAGCCACTTGTGTACCCCGACGACGTCCCTTTCTCGACATTTACCAATATATCCCCATCCTGCAACCCCTGCAAGACTCCTGAAGAAGTATTGACTGATAAAAATCGTTCCATTGATCTTTTAACCCAGCCAGTAACATTTGATGCTGTGGATTCAAATACGATACCTTGCACTTCGTCTATGGACCAGTCTCTATCACACTCCGCTGTGGACTCGGCGGCTGCTTTGCCACAAATGCCAGTGTCGTTTGAAACGGGCATCTCGGCGTGTGAAATTGAACAGCGCAATATCAATGCACCCGCCACCCTTCTTCACGGCATGCCGGACCTCAGTACCTTGAGCAACGTACCGAATGTTACGGATGGTTTGCACCTTGGCCGTGACGCAGCTGGTGTGACAGCTAATGGTCATAGGGAGTCAGCAGGTTCCCCCAGGAATTCTGACTTTGGTGATGAGTGAGTAGCTCCTTCCAATGCCCGGCAGAATATGGTAATTTGGCGCGCTAACTCTGGGGTATTTTGTCTAGTTTCCGGTTTCACTCCACGTTGCATGCAGCCACTGCAATGGTGCAGGGTCCAGATGATATACCCATAACCTACCTTAACAAAGGCCAGATATACACATTGACCGTATCTGATGCCGGTGTCTCGGACTTTGGTCATTATCCTACAAAGTATCGTACCACTGTACGGATAACTTTTGACGACGAGAAACAACGTTTAAAGCCAGCGAGCTATTGGAAATTATGGCAAGAGGGCCGTGGTGCCAACAGGGCTTATCAGAGTGAGAGCACACTGCTGGCAGTTGAATATGTACCGCACAGTCAGGGCGAAGATTTGCAGCCTCGGTATCGGCAAGTTCAACTCGAACATAACAGCCTCGATGGATTTTCGGTAATATGGACGCCTCATCAGATTAACAATCGGCGAGACTGCGCCATATACGTTCGATTCAACTTTGTGTCGACGAGTTTTAGTTATTCCAAGGGAGTGAAGGGAGTTCCCCTCAGACTCTGTGCAAAGACGGAGGCGATTTCATCTTCTCACGAGATGCCTGGAGCGTCAGACTACTCTGAAATTAGCTACTGTAAAGTCAAGCTATTTCGAGATCATGGGGCTGAGAGGAAGCTTTCAAATGACCTTATCCATGTGAAGAAGCTTATTCAACAGGTGAAGGAACAGATCTCCGAAGCTACACTGGGACCTTCCAATGGCGGCAAGCGAAAAAGGTGCAATGGCTCTGCGCTGATCACTGGAAACGAGTCCACGACAAAGACACGGAAATGCTCCAAAATCCCATGGTCATATGGCCAGGACCTTGCAATGAAAGGGCCCTTTGAGGATGATCTTCGTATGGAGCTGAAGCGGTTGACGGATAAGACTATGTCCAGGCGGGAAGTCAGCATCCTTAATCTTAGGGGAGAGCCTCAAGATGACATGGACCTGTTCCCTTTGGAGATGGATACACGACGGACTAGTGCTGATGCCCTTGGGCCAGACGCCGAAACGGAGAGCAAGGCTTCAATGAAAGATCCAAGTAAATATATACCTTACCTCAATGTATCACTTTTGCTAGCTTCCATACTTACATTTTCTTTAGAATATTGTTTTTATGTGCAACGACGGCAAAATAACAAGGGGAATGAAGGCTACTTTCATGCAATATATATCCAGCAGCTAACAGCGAAAGCCTTCACCGACGCCCTGGTGAAGAAGTGGAAATTCAAGACGACGGGCAAGGTACACACTCTGTTGATCCACGAGGATGGGCTGAGTGTTGTTGCCGATGACCTTGCAGTGCAAGCACTGCCGGAGGGAAAAGGAGTATTGTTCGATTTTCTGGAAGTGCATGAAGAGCCTTTGGACGTTAATATGGATTTTGATTCGGACACAGCGCAGGAGCTATAGGTATGATTTTGTCTGTTAGCATTAGAAACAATTTGCAACGTAGATAGTTGTTGGATCGGTAAAAGCTGGGAAAGCGATTGGTGGCTATGGAATGCATAAGCGTTTATATAGGGTCGTTAATGTCGAGTCTACGCATGATGATACATGGCAATGTCGTCGGCTTCTGTTCAGTGCTAGAGACAGCCCCAGGCTTTCTCTTGGACGGTCCTCGGGCTGGCTTAAAACGAAGATGGAAATGAATTGGATGGTTTTATGTTGGAAGTTTAGCGACGGTTAACGGAAAACACATGGTATTGATGACTAATTGATATTTACACCTATTTCAGCGGTTATTGTATGTAATATTGTAATGTTGTTCAATGAGCGTAATTTTTATTTAATACCGCTTACGGAGGAAGAGCCGCCAGGTACGATGGCGAATATATATATGTATAAAACAAATGGAGGTCATATACAATATGCTGCTATTCGAGAAGAAGTCTGATTAAAAATCTAGTTTCTCGACATGCCCCAAGAACGCAGGGTTCCCTTCACTTTTGAGTAAAGCATCAATATCTACTCTGCCGGACGTGAGATAGCGCTCGCTGACACCCAGGTTGACCCGCTTAGAAAGAAGATCACGTAGTTCGGCACGTAGCCTCGCCATCTCCGCCTTGGAGACATTGCTTGCCTGTCTTTCCTTAGCCTGGCGCCCACCGCCTCTGCCTCGACCACGACTCTTCGACTCTTGCTCAGCGAATTCTTCGCTGTCATAGTCTACGCCCAGGTCTTCGGCGGCAGATCGTAACCAGTCCGCCTCAGAGGAGATTTTCTCCTTGGCGAGGGTGGATTCTGTTATCTTTTTGGAGAGGTTTGCGCGTGGGCGAAGACGGGTTACGATTCCGCGGTCAAGGTGGATGGAGTGTAGCTGAACGTCCTTGGACGAAGACTTGCGTTTTTGTGTGTGGTGAACTTTGGCGACGAGGCGGGTTACGCCTGCGGTTTCCTCAGGGGCACATATCAGTATCGATTTTCCAGATGCTGAGGCTCGGGCGGTGCGGCCAGATCGATGGATATAAGTATCTGCTGTGCGGGGGACGTGGTAGTGGATTACTAGGTCGATGCCTTGCATATCTAGGCCTCTGGCAGCAACATCGGTGGCAATGAGGATAGGGGAAGGGTCGGCTGTAGGGGAAGAGAAACGTTCAACCGCCCTAAGACGCGCTTTTTGGGCCATAGAAGAATGCAGGGAGAGGGCAGGGAGGTTGAGGTTTTGGAGGAAGTGAGTTAGTCTTCTCACGGAGGAGATAGAGTTAGTAAAGACTAGGGTGCGATGTTTTGGATAGAAGAGCAGCACTGAATAGAGATAAAGATCCTAATGAACGTTAGCATGACGATCTCTAAAACAATATTTGGGTTTAAAGTCACCTTCTCCATAGCAGAGCACTCGATTATACCCTCTTTGAGGTTATCTGCCATCTGCGAGACGGGATTGACATCGATAAAACGAGGCTTCTCATCCTTAAATCGGAGTTTCTTGAGAAGATACTCCATCGACTCCTTTTTATCCAGAAGATTATCATGGAATGAATGATCTCTTTTCGCGAGTTTCTGCTGTAACCCCTTTTGAAATGTCGCAGAAAAGACTAGCGTTTGTCTGCCACCCAGCTCTTCTTCCTCTTCGGGGGCTTCGTCAACATCTTCATCAGATGTCCTCGTCTTGTCGAGAGCAGAAAGTAATTCCCCAACTTCCTTGAAATGGCCCTCGCTAAGTAGCCGGTCTGCTTCATCGACTACAAGGAATTTGATGGACCGCAACTTGGTGAGGATCTGGGGAGTGGAGCTAACCATGTCCCAGAGCCGGCCGGGGGTTCCGACTATGATGTCTGCTTCGGCGAGCTGGCGTTGTTGTTTATGCACAGATAGCCCACCTGTAACGGAGGCGATGTATGCATCAACGTTAGGGGCGGAGCTGGTAACTTCTTTCAGGTGCTTGACGAGCTGATGTGCTAATTCGCGGGTAGGCGAGAGGATGAGCGCTACTGGCTTTTTATCACCGGACTTCGATAAAGTTAATGAGGTGGAAGGGCGTTGTTCTTGTCTGTTTAGCAAATACTGTAGTATTGGCAGGCCAAAAGCAAGTGTTTTCCCCGAACCCGTAGCTGCTTTACCAATAACATCCCGTCCGCCCAGAATTTCGGGTATGGTTGCCTTTTGAATGGGAGTTGGTTGGGCGAACTTGAAGCGGGAGAGGCTTGTTTGGAGCTCTGGACGTAAATCAAGGGAATCCCAGGCTGAAACATCAACGTCAGCCTCATCATTGGCTTCATTCAGGACGCTGAAGGGTATCGATTGGACCTTAGTATTGCCTTTCTCTTGCCTGGGCTTTTCTCTCTCCTTCTTATCTTTCTTTTTCTTGTTTTCCGTTGACTTGAAAGACGATTGTTCTGGCTCGGGCTGTTGCTCGACCTCGTCACTGAAACCCTCCCACTCTTCTCCATCGTCATCATCATCCAATTCCTCGTTGTCGCCGGTCTTAATACTGCTCTTCGCAGCCTACTCATAACGTTAGCATACAACGCCGTTCTCACCAAGGACCGTAATGACCAACCAAAAACTTCAACTGCTCCCCATCCGCAGGCCTGACAATATCTACTCCTTCTATCTCCTCAAGGCCGTAGAAACCCTCTGCATCCTCAAGAATATCAGGAGGCTGCACGGTCTGCCATTTCAACGCATTGATGTTGGTAACTTCTTCTGTCAGAGCGGTACCGCTGCTTTTATCAGACTTGTTAGTCTTGAGTCGCTTCTTCGGTGGTTCCACCGGTTTCGTCTGCCTTTTTTTGTTTGCCATGGCAGCATTAACAACCCGATGCTCGTAATATATGTAGCCTGCTATTATTTATCACCCACGTCGTTGTCAATAAAAGAGAGGGAAGAAAAGTCAACGCCAAGTCATCTTATCTTATCTATCATGGGAAACTCTAAAATTTATTTTATTAGTCATCATGACTTCCTATTCGTCATCACTATCCTAAAGACTGAAAAAGCGAATTCAAACCACCTAACTGCTATTGGCCCCAATGAATGGACATGCAGAAGTTGTTAAACTACTTCTTAAGGCTAGAGATATGGATATTGATTCCAGGGACTCCGAGTATGGTCAAATACCTCTGGCATGGGCTGCAGAAAAGGGGCATCACCAGACTGTCCGGCTCCTTGAAACTGGAAAGGTGGAAGTGGATTTTAAGGAGACCGTCTCTGGCCAAACTCCTTTATCAAAAGCTGCAAAAAATGGCCATGATGAGAGTTGTAAACCTGTTTATTGAGTCTGGAAAGGCTGATATAGATTCCAGGTCTGATGTTTGTCGGACACCGCTATGCTTAGTTGCAGAAATGGGGCGTGTGGAAGTCACCAAACTACTTCTTGAGACCGGAAAGGTAGATGTTAACTCTGAGAACTCTCAATTTAGCGAAACGCTTCTCTTATGGGCTGCAGAATATCGACACAGTAGTCAAGCTGCTTCTTGGGACTGGGACGGTGGATATGGATATGGATTATAAGAACTCTAATAGATTATTGTGGGCTATAAAAGGGAAACATAGTACATCTGACGTTAACCTGGTCCTTAAGGCTAGCAAGCGGGCTAAAAACACGGAGGATTCTGAAGAGCCCCTGAGTGTATAGTTAAGGAGATGTGCAAATTAAACAACGCTCGAAGATACGGTACCTCGGCATTAATGGACGCTAAGCCTAATCGGATCATGGAGGGCATTTTCTTCGCCGACCAATCATCTTCCATATCACAATTCGCGACAACCCATATTTGAACAAGAGATAAGACAGATACCTATCACAGTCGCCTACGAAGACGGTGGTTGAATACCCAACGAGCATTGACAGCACGTAGCTTACGGTGACGGCCAGCCATGGGGAAATCCTCCAAGGACAAACGTGACGCCTATTATCGTCTGGCCAAAGAACAAAACTGGCGCGCCCGCTCGGCCTTCAAACTCATCCACCTTGACGAGGAATTCGACTTATTCGCCCACTCTGACCCCGATAGCGTGCGGCGCGTGGTCGACCTATGTGCTGCACCAGGCAGTTGGAGCCAGGTGCTCAGCCGTGTGCTAATTCGCGGAGAGTCATTCGGTAGGAGACAATACGAGCTAGACAGAGGTGGCACGGGGGGTGTCGCCGAGGAGGTGCGGCCGCGGAGAGATGTGAAGATTGTTTCAGTGGATTTACAGCCCATGGCGCCGCTGGAGGGTATCACCACTTTACAGGCTGATATCACGCATCCGAGCACGGTGCCATTGCTCCTAAATGCCCTCAACGATGAAGGAGAGGAAGAGAAAGTCGACCTGGTACTGTCTGATGGAGCGCCCGACGTTACTGGCCTGCATGATCTGGATATATACGTGCAGAGTCAGTTGCTGTATGCGGCGCTGAACCTGGCCATGGGCATAATCCGGCCGGGTGGGACGTTTGTGGCGAAGATCTTTAGAGGGCGGGACGTGGATGTATTATATGCACAGCTCAAGAGCGTGTTTGGACGAGTGGTTGTTGCGAAACCCAGGAGCAGCCGGGCGAGTAGTCTTGAGGCATTCGTGGTGTGTCGAGACTACAAGGGGAGCCCGCAGCGGGCTATTACGGGCACTACGTCTACGGAACGGTATATGGCGCGCTTCGTGGCGTGTGGAGATGTGAGCGGTTGGGACGCAGATGCGTCGTATGAATTGCCGGAGGACCATGTGAGTCTGGATCCGGTGCAGAAGCCAACGGCACCGCCATATAAGCGGGCACTAGAACTACGGCGAGCTAAAGGGGGAGCATTCGGGAAGACCAAAAAGACATGAACATGAAAAAAAATCATTCTAATTTTTGAAGAAAAGTATTAAAAAGTTACTAATTATCCGAAAGTGAGTTTAGTAGACCTCCAGGACGAAGCGGTGCTGGTCCTTAAGCCGGTCCATCTCAGCGCGGGTGTCTATTTTGGTATCTGTGGAAAGGGACGCTACTGCTTCCTCAAGGACAGCAGTAACGTCGGGAACAGGCCACGTTGGCCCACACAGGTAGAATGAACCGTGCTTAGCGAGGTACGCATCGGCTATCTGGGGAAGAGTCTGTCTCATGCGGTCTTGGATGTAGACTTTGTGTAGCTGGTCTCGTGAAAAGGCGGTCGAAAGCAGAGTGATGACGCCTGAGGCAGCGTAAGCCTCCCACTCTTCGCCGTAGCAGTATTCTTCTCGCTGGTGACGGGCTCCGATATACAGCAGCACAGGACCAACTTCCTTGCCCAGAGACTTCTCCAGGGCTCGATGCTGGACAAATGCGCGGAAGGGAGCGAGCCCGGTGCCCAGTCCAGCCATGATGAGCGGTGCCATAGGGTCAGTAGGGAGTTTCATGACGCTGGGCTTAACGCTGACCGTCAGGGGGGCACCGGTGGACAGTCTGGAGAGGTAGGTAGATGCATGACCCGAGCGAGCTCTGCCACGTCCGTCTGTCCAGCCAACGACGACAACCATGAGGGCCACTATGGAGGGTGCTAGGCGTTGACAGGAAGCAATGGAGTACTCTCGTCGTTTGACGGGGCCTACCATGGCCGCCAAAGTGGTGAATGTAGGTCTGGCCGAGGGGAACTCTAGGAGGATGTCTTCGTATGTCAACATATCGACGTCTGAACGCTGCTTGAACTCGTCTTTACCCGCCGGGGATGCAAGGTAAGCAAGTCTCTCCTTCTCCTTGGGGTTGGTAGCATGTTCGCTAAGGTCGAGGTAGAATTTCTTAGGCGGCCGGCCCCAAAGGTCGAGCCTTCTGAGTGCCTGGTAGGTTGTCTGCGTCTGTCTACCTTCTTCTGTCCGATAGCTAACTATCTCATCCAGATCTAAGGGATACGCGGCAGCAAACTCCTGCACTTCTTGAGGAGAGTTCTCGGGATGTACTCCCAGGGCCTCCCCTATCTCGTATGTCAAGCCAGAGTCACCCAGGTCTAGCTCCAGATGGAAAATATGACGGTGGTAGTGTGTTGGAGTGAGCCTGCGGTTCTCCTTGACGGTGACAGCGTAGGTCTTTGCTGGGAGTTTTGGTAAGGTTGTCTTTGCCCCAAGAGCCTCCTTGAAGAGAAGTCCCTTAGTAACATCTTCAACGGTTACCTTGTCTTCTTCATGTTCTTCTTCGTCTATGTCTATCTTCTCCTCCTTCTCGGCAGTCTTTTGTTGTTCAAGCTCGCTTCCGGTAAAGTCACCAAGGGTCCTGCTGGTCAGGCTTACCAGGGCCACTCCAAGGCCGAGAGGGAGCATTTGTCTGAATAGGGACTCCTGCTGGCCTCCAAGGACCCCCACGGTCTTGATTGTCTCTGGAAGGACCTTTGCCATTTCGTCTGCCCCCGCCGGCCAGGTCTTGACCACCAACAGTCCCGTCGTCCTGAGAGCATCACTGGCAGCAGCATGGCCAAAGACAGCCACCACAGAGACAGCATCCGAAGGCCCGTGATACTCGTACTTGTTACTGGTCTTGATGTCTCCCCCTGTTGTCTGCGGCAAGTCATAGACTGCATCTTCTTCGGCTGGTATCTTCGAGGCATCTCTGTGAAGCACCATTGACGGAGCAACCTGCACCGCCAATGCCGTCGTCTTCTTTTCGTCTCCCTCCTGGCAGCTTATCAGGGTCACACCCAGCTCTGCTGCCAACTCGATGCAGGCATCACTGTCTTCGACACTGTCGTCTTCCTCTCCGACCAGATGCACCACCAGTGGCAGAGAGAGTAAGGCAGCCTGCTCGAGACTCGCCCTGACACAGCCCAGGGCCCTGACCGGTACGATCACTCTGGCCGCCCTGTCTCTTTCCTTGTCGCTTCTCTTTCTCTTGAGCTTCTGTCTCTCGCCGAGGAAGCCCAACGCGAGGCTACCAGCCCCGAGTCTGGTAGATGGCATAGTAGAGGCCATAGCAGAGGTCATAGGAGGCCGCAGTAGTGGTGGCAGTGGTGGCAACAGTCGCAGCTAGGGGTAAATTATAGTAGAAAGAGTGAAGAGCAAGAGAGTGTAGAAAGTAAGGGGTAGCAGCAGAGTGAGAGAGAGTCAAGAGTGAGGTAAAGAGGAGGAAGTGAAGTCCTCCCCCTTATCTATCTCATCTTATCTCATCTCATCTCTGCTGCTAAGCGCCCTTTTTTTCCCTTCTATCACGCCATCTTCAGCTGTTTTTACTCACTGTTACCCCGTACTGCTCCTGCCGCTTTCGGCCAACTGCGCGCTTTCCTGCTTTGTAAATTTCAACAGGGGATTGCGTGATCTTAGTCAGCACGGGGAAATTAGTAATGCAGGGGAAAGCCCTAGCCCTAAGCCCTAAAAATCAAGGTAATGAAAGTAGATTGATATAGAAGCAAGCAGCAGTAATAAGTAGTTGTAGATGGCAGATACTTTACAACAAAGAGTAGTAAAGAATGTAGAAAAGAGTACAGAGAAGATAGTTGGATTATTTGCTGGGATGGGTGCTGATGTCGGCTCCCCCGTAGTCCACCCGCTTGCCCTTGCGCGGCGACACCCTTCTGCTCGGCCGGACTTCTTCGTCGTGCTGCCCTCCTCCTTCGTCGGTGAAGCGGGAGACCTCCCTGTTGGCGGGGCTGACCTCCAGTGGGCGCCGGTCGCGGTGGCCGTTGGCTTCTTCCTCGCGGTCAGAGGCTGTCCGGACGTCGGCAGGGTCGCGGTAGCAGATGTCGTAGGCGCTTCGTTGGGAAGCGACCTCGCTATCCCCACCTGTCTTGGAGTACTCGCCTCGGTCGGTGTTGATGCCGTCGCTAGCGTTACTACTGGCCTGTCTTGTTGTTCCAGTAGTCCGACGTAGTCTTAGACTTGGTAGTAGTGACAGACTTCCTAGACTTGGTCGTAGGAGGCGAGGTTGCAGCATGATGATCACCTGATAGATGGCTCTTCTAGGAGTGTGCTCTTAGAAAGCTTGGAAGATAGGTCTTTATTTTGATAGACGGTTTGGATAGACAGATAGATGTTGCTGTTGATAGATGTCTTCCTGATTGCTTCGATGCTCCTCTCTCCCCCCTCGCCTTCTTTTGCTGCAGGTGCTGACGTCATGTCACGTGGGGTTCTTCCTTGATATGGGGCTTGTGGATGCCGAGGTAACTAGCTAGTTACTGCTTAGGTAAGACACTAGAGACGTCAGGGACAAGGATAAGGGGGTGATGCGCCGTAGACAGGAGCATGGTTGCTTGGTAGGCCTGGTAGACAGGTTTCGTCGATGGATAGCCATGGTGATTGCTAGACTAGACGGGGCGCAGTCAGGCAGCGTGCATAGAGGCTCTTAGGTAGAAGTGAGGCAGAAGACATGGGTAGGCAAGCTAGGTGGAAAGTGGAGAGCTTAAGCCTCATGCAATTGATGCAGATAGTAGTTAGATGCCGTCAGCAGGCAGCTAGCTAAAGAAGTTGTAGTGGAAGTGCTAGAGGTGCAGGATGCAGTTGTTGGCGGAGGGAGAAGTGGTGATGCCTGACTCATTATTCAGTCCACAGCCTTTCCATGGTTGAGCAAAGCAGACTAGCCACGTCAACAGGTA